GATCTGAATTCTAGCTAATTCGAGGGTAAGATAACATCTTTCGGTCTTTTCCTTTGTAGATCTGTGAAAGAGCTACTTGCCTTTTTCCGACTTATCTCTAAAAAATTAATTTAAGTTTGTATGCTGGTCTTTGATCAATCAAAATTGAGTTCATCTTAAGTATAGAATTACTAAATCGAGAGACAGACTTACTTTTTCTCCAAAGCTTGCAGTCGTTGGTGAACATTATTCAAGTTTGGGGCTCCATTCGTATTATTTTCGCTGGACCTTTCCCGACGTTCAGGCACGATTTCTGCCGCCGGAGCATCTTCAAGTCCGCTATTTTCTGCCGCTTTATCTGTGGCGACCATTTCACAGAAGGTGAAACAAATCGCACACACAATCATGGAATACATGGCGGCCCGAGGTGCGGTAAAAAACATGGTGGTTTAGATATGTTTGAATATTTCAGTGAGTTCTCGAGAAAATTCGTTTCCCTTGCGAGCGGATGCCAACTCGTTCTTTGAGCTCTGAAATCTTCAATATGAAAAAATAAAGCTTTATTCAAACGACTTCCTGCGTAAGAGGCGAGAACATTTTCGCGTTTGCCACCACATTAGAATTACAATAGTATGACAATAATTGTCGTAAATAGATTGTTAGGGTGTCAAGTTTTTTGTTGAATCAAATTGAATAAAAAGTGAGAGGATTTGTAAAATAACTATCTTGCTACGTTCGTAGATTAATCCGAATCTCTTCCGTCAAGGAATAGTTTCTGAGAATGAAACTATCTTTATGGCTGGTGTCTACTAGAAAAAGCCTGGGCAAGAGTACCATATAACCCAACATTAACTATGCATTCAGACTAGTAGACTTTGTTTTTAAGTTTTGTCGTGAAAGATAAAGAAGTGGAATGCATAATTAATGTATGGGGTTATATGGTACTCTCTCCAAAGCCTGGGGGCAAACATAATTTAACAGTTTTCACACACTACCTTAATTGTAGATAAATTAGATGTAAATATTTTTTATAAAACATCGAGATCACCTCATTATATAATATAAACATTCACGACCGGGTGATAAATTGTAGTAGTAATAGTAATAAGTTGTAGTGGTAAAAGTCTTGAACAAAAGCTCATCTTTCAAACCGGCAGTCTAAATCCCACAGGTATCAACGAACGCTTTTCATTCCACTAATTTATTCGTGTTTTTCTCGTTTCCATGTTCCCACCAATCACGTAGCTCCATTTTCTGCCTTTAAAAGCAACCACAACCCACAATTCCTCTATTCGCTCCGACGAAGGGCTAACGCTCGAAACGTCAGCTTTTATAATCGTAACGGTGGCCAATTTACCATTTCAAATTTGTTGATATATTGAAATTATTTCGTTACCCCCACCGACGCAGCCCCAAACAGTTTCTTTAGAAACTATCAGTCTTTACTCATAGATTTAAAAGATTTGAACTTGTAAAATTATCAAAGTGAATTTTGTCTTCGTTTCTTTTATTCACAAGTCTTGGTTGATAATCCTGAGATGAATATCGTGGCAGTAAAGACAACTATCTCTTCGGAAATTAAGGTTTTTTTACACTCGGTCGCCCCCAAGAATTAATTCCTTGAGGTGCAGTTATGCAGCATTCGCGAAGTTAAAAGTAGTTGGAGCAAATCATTAGATTAAGCTACTTACAATACGCGTGTTGTCGTCGAACGATTGCGGGAGTTAGGGCAATCAGTGGGATGTGCATAATTACGAGCTGGAACATTAACAAATGACGGTAATTTATCTTTTCCCTTTATTTTCTCATGTCATACTAAGGAGGTGCAGACACGTTTTTGCTCTTTCCGTGATTTTGCTCTCTTTTAGCCATAAACCTTTGTCAGCCGACGTCGGAGTGGACAGCAATCTAAGGTCACCTGTGACAGCACTGAGCGATTTCCTTCATTTATTTTGCGCTATGGAACATTGTTTCTTTCGAATACTTGATTGGCACTGCATTTCAAGAATCATGCTTTGGAAATTTGCATCCTACGGTTGACTGCTAACGTTCGGGTATTATTCTTCAATTCTATGGTTACAAGAAATTTCAAGACCCCTATCGTGTTGTTTGCTACTCTAGCGGCTTCGATGCAAATTTTGCTACTTTCTGGAGAGGTGGAGACTAATCCCGA